CAAAATTCTTAATAGTTAGGAGATATCCATCATAAATAATGCCACTATAATGCATACATATTTATGGTTCGTGTTTATGGTATACTAATGCAATTATAAATAGGAAGTTTAACAATATGAATTTAATATTGTATATTATATATATTTCCAATGTCATGCTTTTTACATTTTTTGGCTATTCATTATACTCGTTCGAATATTAATTAAGGAGCATCAACATTTTCAAAAGAGTCATCTGATGGAAAATGTTTGGAAAAAAGAGCGATTGTCATTTTTTTTTAAGGAGTTGGTATCGCCACAGAACACTCCTAAAATATTTTTTAAAAATCTAAGTATTTGAAAATATAGCCCTTAAGTACACCTATTTCAAAGTTCCAAAAAGCATAGTTGAATAACCTAATCTTAATAAAAGGAAATGAGAATCAGCATGCTTGGTGTATCTCCCTCAATTAGTTTTTCACGCATTTAATATGTACGATAATTTTTTTTATCGTCGGTACCGACGCACTATCAGTATAAGTACAAATCTGTAAGATATGTTATATTTTACAAAACAAACATTTATCTTCAAACCTAACGTAGGTGCTTACTAATGGTTAGTGACTAACCTTATATTGCATTACTATAATTAAATATTCTCCTATTATAGACAAAATTATTGAATAGGATGCAATTACCAAATTACATAAGTTCCTAGAGTTACTAAGAGTTAATTGTATTTCTATTCTAATTTATATTTGAATAATAAAATAACGATAATGGTTTCTAATGGTATCGTCATAAACAAGAGACTGTAGTATATTTAAATAATAATGAAAACCTGTATCCGGCCAGTATAGGTTAATAATTTACGATGATATCCGGAATAAGGGTGGTGCCGAGTTGACGTACGTGACGACCGGAATTAAAACTCGACGTTGAGGGTGACAGGTTGAGTGCATTAACTTGTAACCACTACCGCGTAATGTTTCCTTTTTTGTTTTTAATTTAATCGACGACAGAGCAGTGGTTGAAAAAACCTCTCTCTATCACTAAGCTTAGCAAACCATATATACAGAACAAAGGGGACAAACAAAAATTAAATTAAACTGCAGCAGTCAAAAAACCAAATATAAATATATAATACATTGAAACCAAATGGCCAACATGAAAATATTTGGACTTTTGAGTATTTCTTATTTACGTGCATTTTTATCAATTTCAACAGCTATTATTATATAAGTGTGTCAATAACAGCAAATTTAAACAAGTACCTATATAAATAAAATGGTATCATATTTAACACAATATGCAGATAATCTAAAATAAATTATAATAAAAACTGTTTTCATCATTACATTAAACATATTTCCCCGTCTTACTATATAGTAGAAATATTATAATATATAGGAAAAACTCAAAGACAGACTTATTTTTATTGTTGTGTCAGATTCTACATTAAAAATGGAACCCAACCCTCCAATTTCATGCGATTGCAGATGAAGACAATTTTTAGAATTATTAAGTTATCATTTGATTGGGTATAATTATACAGTAAATTATACTTGTTATATCATGTATTAGTGTATGGTAAGTCGCTGTGTCCTCTCAGACTCAGATTGGGCCGGCGAGCTACCGTGCTAAGCTCGGAAGGCCGCACGATTATTATGATACTTGGGCCGCTAGCTTGCTCAAATATCAACCTAGTTAAATTGGCCGGTAAAATGATTGTGCTAGGTAAGTTTCTGGGCCCCAATCCGGTCCTGGTTTCGCTAACATTGAACACTCATTATTTCAAATGATATTAATCCTTTGAACATTGTATACAGCACTTAGATGCAGATGACTAGACAGTGTACCACACATTTCCTCTTATCTAAACTTTTATGAATATGCATTTTTTTATATAGGTAATTTCACGTGTTATACGGTATTTTAGTAGGTATTGTTCATAAACTCAGAATTCCAGACATTCTAATGTAATACCAATTATGTCAGTAGTATACATCCATTTACGTGACTTAAATTAATAAGAAAATGCTATGCTTTCAGAATAAAAAACAGTTTGTCGTAGGTACACAAAGTAGGCAGAAGATGCATTCGAAATAATCTTAACAGAGTATGATAACTGATTTAATATAAAAATTAGTATTTGCTATTATGTTTTAATACTATACAAGATTTCAAATCAAATAATCACTATTATAACATACGTATTACATTTATACGATACAACCAACCACTTAATTATAAAATGTCAAAATTGCGAGATATTTATTGTACTTAAAATAATAAAATCATATTATTAGGTTAGGATAATTAGGTAGATTTTTGGAACAGACCTTATAACTTACTTATTGCCCACGTATTTATATTATCTTTATGTCCTTAATTAAATTACTTTTTATACTGTTGAAGTTTTTTAATGATATTTTATTTATTTAGTTTTCAACCCAAATGTTATTATATGGTTCAACAATTACAAGATAATATTATGTTAATGATACAAATCAGCAAGTTACAGCTGACAGCAAACACGAATCAAAAATATATTATAATAGTAAATAATAATAATAATACTCAAGTAGTATTAAAATGAGCGATGTTGGTATAAATATAAAATTTAAGACCAATTAAAAGCGTAGATGCAGATAAAAATAACGTAGATTTGTTTGTAATGAATAATGACGTTATAATAATAATTTAACTAGGCTAATAATCTTGGAAATTGAAGCTTTTAATCAAATATAAAATAATAATAATAATTTAAAGTAAAATGAATAAGATAAAATAATAAACTATAAAATATTCAATGCATACCATATAATGTTTATTATATGTTATTATAGTTTTTACTTATTTTAAACTTTAATTATTGAGCTTCATCCGTTTAAAAACAATCAATAAATAAATATAGTTTGTGTAGTAAAGCAGTAAAGGGGGAAATGAGAGGGATTAATTAACGTAGTAACATTTAAAGGAAATTCAGATATAGTTATTTACTGTTAAGTATATTAAGTAATATGATATTATTGGGACCAAAAACTACGAAGGCATAAGCCTTAGTTTGTCCAGGATGAGAGTCTTGTGTTTTTTTATTTAGAATGTGGTGGTTTGACTGATAAGTTCTACGGTAGGTACTTGAGGGTAGCTTTGTACATTACTACATTAGAAGTTGGTTTTATGCATAAGTACATGACACATATACCATTAGGTAGTTTTATGAGTACCTACCTATAGTTGGCATAATATTTTATGAAGTATAGTAGAAAATATGATACTGGTAACTGGTTATAGGACAGTTGGTGGGTGGATGGTAAATGTTTCTCTTTGTGACATAGTAATATAATAAGCGTTTTCAATTAGTTCGGTGACTCTTATATCTAACTTCTAAATGTAATATGAATACCAAAGAATAAAATAATATATACAATGTAAGTATGTAACTGATATTAAATAATGCTATAATTATATTAAAATATTTAGTGTAATAATAATGATGCCTGTCGCCTGGTTTTATATTATTTGTACTATTATTGATATATTCGAAGAAAAAAATTAGAACAAAAATAAAACCATTATATTATGTGTACATGATTTGTATAATATATTTTAATTTGATTGTAAGTATATTAATACAATATTACAATATAATTATCATTTTAGAGGGAGTTGTATACCTATATCTATTGTGTACGATTTGTCACAAAAACTAAAATAATACTTTCAGATTCCATGACTATTACGTATGATTGACATATATTATATAGTATACACAGTGCACTAGAGACAAAACTAATTACAAAACCTTAATGGTTTTAGTTTTTCAGCCTGGTTAGGATAACATTTACATATTTAATTTGCATATGTTTATTAATTTAAATGTTATAACATGCGCCCTGGACTCTGGAGATCCTCAATGTGCCATAACGGCATAACTGCAGTTTCTACACAATGCAACATCTACTCTAGGTAGCAAATCAACCCACATCTCTAGCTTTTGTCGCTGAATACGCCAACCTAAATCAAATCTCGAAGCTCACAAAAATCCTATCACCGCATTTAACCAACTACAAACTCATCTTTTTTGTATTGAAACCTCGTGTCAAATTTGGAAAGTTAAAATTAACGTAAGTAAATCTAGCCACATCACTTTTACTCTCAAACACGAATTTTCCCCCAAATTATATTTAACAATATCTTGATTGCAATCTCACTGACACAAAATATTTCCGAATACATTTCTACAAAAATTTACCTCCCCCCTTACACCCACAACACCAAACTCAAACTAAATGTTCGTCTTCCTATATTCTTAAATATTTTCTTAACGAAAAATCAAAACTTTCACTCCACACTAAACTAAATCTTTACAAAAGTTTTCTAACACCAATTTATGGCTCTGCAAAAAATTCAAACTAAAACAAAATACAAATACCTAAGCTAAAATAAAATCTATATATGTAATCAACGACTTTACTCTGACCAAAAATGAGCACAGTATGAAAAACCACTATCAAATTCTACACCCATTACCAAAACTCACTATTCGATCATACACAATCCTTAGCAAAAAATCTATACCTAACCAAATTAATGGCCAGTAACCCACCCAAAACGCTGAAAATAATGTTGTCAGGACCTACTCCTCTGACATAGCACTATAATAACAACTAATAAGAGTGTGGGTAGATTCTTCCACATCAAATCGTCATTTTAGACCTATAATTATATCATTTAGATCTATTATACAAAAACTCAAGAAAGTCTGTAGATCGGTTAATCAAACTATAAAAAAAAATAAAAATTATAATAATGTTATTACAGGTAAGATGTGTGCCGAGATATTATATTAGTATATTATGTGACATAATAATACATTTATACCTACGTCTTACCAGCCAGCTTATGTATATTATGAGCATAAACAATTGCTAAATAGATATCAGTAGGTACGTCAACTCTGAGGGTATTGTCGGAACAAAATTTTATAATAACTAATAAGTAATAATCGGACTTACTGGTGGAACCGACGTAGATTTGTGTCCATGCCAACTGAGAGCTTACTGCAGCCGTGTTACAGAACAACAGAACCAGTAGTGGCGGCAGTATCGTCAATACCATCAACAGCGGTGGAGACGGACGCATGGTCCAACTACGGCGTTGGAGGGTTCGTTTTCGTTACAAACACACCTTATGTGTTCTTAGTTCGACCGATTTCCGTTCGCTAAAAAAACGATTGCACTTGCAGTGGCGGTAGATTGTCAGCGTTCATTTTGTCGCTGTCAGCGGACGTCCACGGATAAGGAATTTGCGATCAAAACAAAAACCTGAAACAACCGTTTAAAAATTGGTTATTGTTTTATATACTGTATCCTATACAAGTATTGTTATTATGTGATACGTTAAAAGTCTGTACTAATTTGTCCTATAAATGTTAGAATAATGAGTAACTTTCTTCAAAATAAATCAATGATAACATTCAATACCATGTTGACAGTTTTATAAAACTAAATTATATAGATTTCATATTAATCTCAATGTAATATATTATTACGATTAACTTTTATGCCAGATTTAACTTCTAACTTCCAAGTAGTTCAAAATATACAAAAAAAGGAGTAAAGCCAGTGACAATAAAGAACCCAAAAAGACAAACTTAAATCTGATGTCATAAATATTGCAGTGCGAACCATGCGGAGCGTAATTCATCGCAGACGTCTACACATTATTATTGCAACTAACGGTTGCGTATACTTGTTAAATGGTACTTTAATAGTATTTTATATATTTTTTATGGAATTTTCGTACTTGAAAGAATTAACAACATTAGTTTTGTTTCTGTTTTTATTTTTAAAGTTTGTGCATCCAATGATTTGTCTATAATATTAAACTGTACAAATACTTGAAATACTGTATTATCGTGTTTATTTAGTATATCTACTGATTTAGTGTAATGGTAAATTTTTATTGGGTAGTGGGCAGTGGGCACTACATACAGATTAATAGACACTAGTGAAACTTAATTTATAAATTACAATTATATCTATGTACAATATACATACATTTTGTTATATATATTATTAAATATTAATACACCTATATATAAATATGACTTATGGGTGAACTGTAAACATTGTCCGATAATACCTACGATATAATATACATTTTAAAAACGTCCGTCTGCAGGTACACTCGATATGGTGTATTGTAATAGTTTAATCACTAATCAGTAAACATTATTAATAACGTCGCAACGAAGATAATCTGTAGAAAAGAACAAAAAAAAATGATGACGAATTGTTTTGTCATATGGCTGAACAGCAGTTTCGAAAAACAAAAGAAAACGATTAGTATTGAAAATAAACGAATTAATCAGTCGAGAGATGAGTACAAAACAAAACAAATAGCTTTTCGTTTGAAAATTGTTTTCGGAAAAACAAAAGAAAAAATAATTGCCGATGATCGGGAAACCACGCGCATATAGATCGGATGCGAGTTTTAAAAGGAGAGACAATTCAATTACGCGTTTAACGACAGTTGAAACGTTATCCGTTATATAGGTATAACACTTTAACACATATATTGATTTCTGTGTGTGTGTGGATTGGCAGTTTAAAGTTTCATCGTCTGAAAACTGCCGGCCGTGATTGATGACCGTTTGGTATTTGTTATTACCTATCTATATAAAATATATTATGCCTATTGGCTATTATTAGGTATATTGTTATTATTACTATTGTTGTTGTTATCGACATCATCATCGACATTCGGCTATCGTTAAATCGCTAAGTCGGGCTCTGCTTACTAGGTACTAGGTATCGAGGGCTCTGGTTCAGACGTGTTCATAATCGTTAAGCTTTGCTTTTACTATACTTATTACTGTGCATGGGTCTAATTTGATTTTGTTTGGTAATCCAATAAAACGTATAAAAAATATATTTCAAATTACATGTCTCAATCTAACTATTCCACGCATGCGTTATGTGTACAGTACACTTATAAGTTATGTGTAATTACACATGTCGCATATAAACATGAAATTACATATTTAAATAGGTATTGGACGTCCCCCCTCCCCTCTCCCGAGGGTTTTAGCGGTACTGGACGTTTTCCCTCTGAACTAAGATATTTTCCCCCTGAATCAATATATATATTTTTGTACGCATAATAACAGATAGGAAAATGGGTTCCTTAGTCTTACTCAAAATATATGATCATCTGTCGACTGTCATCATTCACATTAAGGATTTATTAACCAATTTAATGGGAAATTATTGATAAACCAAAGTTGTGTAAAAATATTATTGAATTATACTTATACATTAATTTGACAATTTGTATAATATTTTATAGAAAAATCCCGATAACAGTACCTACATTTATTTATTTGTAATTTGTATATTGTTTAATATTTTCAATATATTTTATATCACTGAATTTTGCATTGGCAATTGTGTTATTTTAATGTATTATTGAATTATATTAATATATTAATATTTATTTATGTATTCAATAGCATTACTAATTAAATAATTTGTAAAATTATTGATTTGAATTGCATATTATTGTTTAATATTTTTACTTTAAATTTGTTGTCTGTGTTTGAGGGGGTAAAATTTCCCGTCCCGTTTTGGGGAATGGAAGCGCCCAATAAATCGTTGAGGAAAAGGTGCGGTGGGAAACGTCCTAGATTAATTTAAATAACTTAATGACCACAAGCCTCGACAACATGAAGGAGTACAAATTTAAAATTTTAGTTCTCTCTGTCACCCCGTTTCTATAATGGTATAATATAATATTATTTAGAAATTAGAACACAAACACTATACACTATGCTGACATTAATTTTGTATCGAACATTAGCGTATCATTCAGCCGGCGTTTCCTGAGGTTAATTAATAAATTCGCCCACGGCTAGTCGTAATAAATGACTTATTTTCTCACGTGAACCTGCAACTGCATAATCATTTTGCTTCAGTTAAAATATTCCCAATTGTTGTATTTTTTTACTATTTCCACAAAACCAGTAGGGTATTTTTTTAGTATATTAACCTCAATCATGCCCAACCTCTATAGTCTATATATTATAGCTGTTACTCAATATTATATTTATATTTGAATAGCTCTTTTAGTCAAAATGACAAAATATAATGCAATACAGAACATTATATCGAATCATAATAACTCTGTTATTATCTGTTACCAATGGAAACCTTATAAATAAACAAAACACATTCGTGAGTCGAAACACAATTCAAGTGTGAGCCATCCTATAATATGTGTTGAAAAACGAAGCTACTAACTAACCTCGAGTATCAAGGAATCTATTGATATAACTTTTTTGAATACCGTTCAGTAGTTTTTGAATCTATATAGGTGACGACCAAACAAACAAACATTCATGTTTATATATTAGATAGTCGCCTATATTAATTTGGTTAATTTGTTTTAATATTTCTATAAATTATGATACAATAGGTATAGTACCATAGTAGTGTACTCGAGTATTATTGCTTTAATATACTAATGTGGTGTGTTCCGATTTTTAAAAAAATAGCTCATTAGAGGAATTACGAGTAAACTACCCACCCCCCTAATTACACTATATCTGCTATAGAATTTGTCAGTCCCTATTATATGAGCATTGATATTATTGGTCCATGGCTTCATCCTTCATATCCTCTTAGCTGACTTCCCAGTTTTCCGGAAATAAATCGATTTTGTGAGTTTTTCAAATATTTCTTCTATCATAACACACAAATATTATTATATTGTAATAATACAATTTTCGCATAATATAGGCAAATCAAGTAACAACTAACATATAATAATCACACATGAGAATAAATAAAAATAAACCATATAGGTATCTAACCTATGTGTATTGCAAAATACATCGACCTAATTTAATTTAATTTAATTCAAGACTGTTAGTGTGAAATTCTTTTATTGCTCAAAATCTAAAATAAAATAGTTCTAGTAAATATTACTTACTATTACTACTATCTTAAAATTGTTAGCCAAATAACGTTTTACGTATAATCCATTTTCCGTTGCATCATAGGTTATAAATATTACTATATTAGGTAAATATTTATATTTATCTTATTTTTTGATAAATTTTCCTGTACACATTTTTGATTCTATACGGCTCTATTAAACACATTATATTTATTAATTAACTTCTGAAATATACATTCATACATTATTATATTCATTAAATAAATGCCTTTTATTAAATTACGTAGTTGTTTTTTTTTTTTTAAGCACGTGGTAGATAGATCTGCAATATGTATATTTACATTTTCAGTATTATGCATTTCGATAATGAATAACTACAATATTTATGCTTTATAGTTTATAGGCTTCATAGCTTTTATTCAATTTTTACAATATTAATTGTCAAGACGTGAGTTATTAGGTAGCTATTTTTATTTTTAGTTGCAACCATTTTCAGCTAAATAGAATACTCATTTAATCCAACCCAAAATGATTAAATGTAAAATGATAAAATAAAAATGCACTGTACATGTGCTGGTTAATTTCCAAATCCAAAATAATGATTATAGAAAGACTACCTAGAAAGACCTACCTAGTTATTTAAAATGTTATCCATTACGAACAAAATTGTTATTATAGTAATAAAATATGTACAATTTAAATGATAATTAATGTTTTTCTCAGTTCAATAAAATCCAACAAACAATCAACATTTAAAAATAATGATTCAATAATAATATTCGTAATGACGTCGTATTAACCATCGTAGACGCTTATTATTCCGTGACACATGGTTTTTAATTGTATCTATGAGAGTCAATAAACACGCCGCCGAACACATAATAGATATTTAAGTACGCCATTAGTTCAAAGGCGACCGGTTTCGTACGCCGCCGGAAAAATTCAACAAAAATTCATGGTCCAGGTGAGGCTCGAACTCACAACCCCGGCATTGCTCACGACTACTGTCTTATAAGTACCGTGCGCTAACCGATTGCGCCACTGGACCCGCACGGCATTCCGACCCAAAACAATGTGTTTTGACTGGCATCGAATTCTAAATAAATAGCGGCAACAATTTTATAAAGATAATAATGGTGTACATTACTAGTTAGTTCTATGAATTACAGAGCGGAGACCGCGTTTCCGTACGACAAGTGACGACAACGGTGATAGTAATATTATGCGGTATAGTGGTACAGTCACAGTGTATTATATCGTGGTATGGTGAGTTCGAGTATTTAATTCAAATCCGGTATTGTGACTGGGACTTGGGAGGAAGTGGATTCCCTAATTGCGTTCTAATATTACAATAATATTTATTATA